GATCCTCATGGTCACGTGATCAAAATTTTGTTTGGCAACAGATCCGTTTTTATGCTGGATTCAGTGTCCTGGGGAGTCCTTTTGACAAAAAATTTTTTTTTTAATCAAGCCCCCCCCCCCCCCCCCGGTCAAAGGCGTCCCTCTTTTCCAATCTGAAAATCTGGTCACCTTAGTTTATACAGAATTGATGTGGTGTGTGAAGTGTGCAGGTGCTGGAAAAATACTTTTTACCCAAAGTTTCTTCCAATCCAAATCTTTAGGTCCTGAGTAGCCTTACCTGGGCAGCAGTGTAAACCTCTGATATTTTGTATATGACTGCATTTTGAGTCCACCTGGTTGATGCCATAGGGCAGTGATGGCTAATCTTTTTTGGTGTGCAAAAACCAGGGGAGCACACTGGGTTGTGCGCAGACATGCCACACCCATAATGCTATGCACACAAACCCAGCGTGCATGCGCGCACTCCCCCCAAGTGCACATGCGCACACGACCAGCGCTCCCCCCTGCTTTTGGTGTGCTTTTTTCACCCTCCCCAGGCTCCAGAGGCTATCTAGGAGGCTGGGGAGGGCGAAAACAGCCTCTCTCCTCCCCAGAGGCCCTCTGGGCAAACCAGAAGTTTGGGAACAGATTTCTGGTTTGCCCGTTGGGCTGGTTTTTCCCGCTCCGGAGCCTTCAGGAGCCTTCCCTGAAGACTCCGGAGGTCGAAAAACAGCCCTACGGCCAAACCGGAAGTCGGAGGTCGAAAAATGGCCCTATGAGCAAACTGGAAGTCTGTTCCCGAAGCCTCCGGAAGGCAAAAAACAGCCTCAAAAGAAGGCCGAAGTCAGCTGGCCAGCACACGCATGCGCGCTGGAACTGACAGTGCAACGCCTCACGTGCCCTAACAAATGGCTCTGTGTGCCACCTGTGGCACACATGCCATAGGTTCGCCACCACGGCCATAGGGGGACTCCACCTTGGTTAATGTGAAATGTCTCTTCTACAGACCAGTTAATAGGATGTGGCTTTAACCAGTGGTGGGATTCAAATAATTTAACAACCGGTTCTCTGCCCTAATGGGTAGGTGTGGCTGGGTGGTCATGGCCAACTCAATGTCACTCACGTCGAGGGGCACCTCACCTCACCTGGCCTCGCCACGCCCAGCCACGCCTTGCCCCTCCCCTCCCAGCCACTCCTTGTCACACCCGGCTGCTCACCTTGCCGAATGAGTAGTTTTCAAATAAAAAGAATGCTTGCTTTGTGCAAATAAATAACAAACATCTTGACTTCAGGTTTGATGCATCTTGCAAAATATTACTGCTCATTCTAGTCTCCTTTCCTACTAACAGGNTGCTGACTCTGTAAACCACTTAGAGAGGGCTGAAAGCCCTATGAAGCAGTATATAAGTCTAACTGCTATTGCTATTGCTATTGCTATTGACCACATAGATCACCTTGGGCTTAGCTTTCTTCAGGGCAGGTGTCAACACTGACTGGGGCAAGTGGGTGGTGAGGGGCAGAGGACACCCAATGTGCTGAAGCTGCTCTTGGAAATAGGTGTGCTCCAACCGGGGAGCTCGGGCCCAGTTGGGAAGAGTCTTTATAGGTTGGAGGTTGCCGTTGCTGTAGATCAAGGTCAGGATTTCTTGCATCCACGTGGTGCCTGATTTGGGGTAAGTGACGAGGAGGACGTCTGTGTCCTGGAACTCAAAGTCGCTGGCAAAGTGGAGGGAGCTCTCAGTGTGGAGGTGTCCCGGCAGGCGTATGTTGGCAAAGACCTCGGTTACATCAAGCCAAGCCATGGTGCTGGCAGCAGCCGGGAGGCCTCTCTGCTCTCCTGCAGCCAAAGGACCTCCCCTCTGCCTGCTCAGCCCAGCAGTGGGAGGTATCCTCCCAAAACCGAGCTTTTTCTAACCAGAACTCCTGAAGGCAGAATTGTTGTCAGCAACTAAACATGAACACTTTTAAAATCAGTAGTAGTGAAAACTGTCTCTGTTAATACTGTGTTTCCCCAAAAATACAACCTATCCTGAAACTAAGGCCTTGCCACATTTTTCTGGTGGGCAAAAATATAAGCCCTCCCCAACAAATAAGTACCCTGGACAACCCCCCACCTCCGGCCAGGCAGAGCGCCACTCACCAACCTAGCAGTAAGTGCCCAGCCACGGGAACCAGGGGCGAGCAAAGGTGATCACATTGCTTGCCACCTTTGGGATACCCTAGGTTGGTGAGTGGCGCTGTGCCCAGCTGAAGAGGAGGTGTTGCCGGGCAGGTGCTCTCTTGCGAGCGGGCTCCCAAATAGCCGGGCACAGCCTCAGGGGCAAACGGCTGTGTTGTGCTGTCACAGCAGCGCCATGAAAGGCACTCTGCACAGCTGGAGAGGGGGAGTTATGCGAGCGGCTGTTCCGTTCCCACTCATGTGCCTCCCAGCTTCACAATGCCCTGGTCCAGGGAACTGCGCAGCCACAGACGCCATACCAGCCTGGCTTTTTCGGCAGCTTTCAAACCCAGTTTTCCTGCAGTGGCTGCTCTGGGTGTAATCTCTATGGTTGTAAGCTCTGGGAGTATGCTTTGCTGGCAGCTGACTCACAACCATAGCCGCTTGCACAACCCCCCTCTCCAACTGTGCAGAGCGCCTTTCACTGGCATTTTGAAGGCGCCAAGCCGTGAGAGCCAGGCAGCGGCAAACAGGCACTCATGCAGCTTGGTGATACCCCTAGGTCAGTGAATGGTGCTGTGCCCAGCTGGAAAGGGGGTTTGCCGTTGGCTGCTCCTGAGTGTGATTGCTTCATGGTTGCTGTGTTGCGCTGCTGTGACAGCGCAACACAGCCATTCGCCCCTGAGGCTGTGCCTGGCTCTTTGGGAGCCCGCTCGCAAGACAGCAGCCACCCTGCAACCCTGAAACAATAAGCCCTCCCCTGATAATATGGCCCAAGCCATATTTTGTATGTAAAAAGAAAATAAGACCCTGTCTTATTTTGGGGGAAACAGAGTGGTAATCCAATGGTAGAAATGTAACAAGAATAAGTTTTTCTCATTTATAAACTGCTTTTAGATTTGATCTCTTAACTAGGCAATCTCTTAACTGAGTTTCTGGTATCTGAAATAAATAATAAAAGCCTGGTCCAGCACACTACCATTGAAAAATGAAAGCAAGAAATCCAAGAAAAAACCATCATGATTGAACAAAGATCTCTCTGATAAACCAAAAAACACAAAGGAAAAGTACAAAAACTGGAAAGAAAGACACATAACTAAGGCAAAATATCAGCAAATAGCCTGAATCTGTGAAGATGAGGTCAGGAAAGCAAGGGCTCAGAATGATCAAAGACTTGTAATAAAAGTCAAAGATAATTTTAAAAAGTTTATTTCAACATATAAATAACAATAAAAAACTCAAGGAAACAGTCAGTCCCCTAAGGAGAGAAGATGGCAAGGATTTAAAAGGCAGGAGAAAGAAAGCAGAGCTGCCTAACATATTCTTTGCATCAGTCTTCATGTAGAAAAAGACTACAGCTCAACCTACCAAAAAACATAACCGTAAAAGACTAGAAACAAAAATTAAAATAAGCAAGAAAACTGTAAGAGAACATTTGACCTTGACAAATATAAATCACCAGGACCTGAAGGATTACATCCCAGAGTTTTGAAGGAGCTGGCGGGTGTTATCTCAGAACCATTGTACCATATCTTTAAAATATCCTGGAACCCCAGGAACTACTTGAGGATTGGGAAAAAAAACTGATGTGATTCCCATCTTCAGAAAAAGAAAAAGAAACAGACCCTGAAAACTACAGGGCAGTCAGCCTAAGATATTTCCAATATCTTTCCAATACCTGGAAAGATATTGAAAAGATAATAAAAAAACAGATCTGCAAACATCTAGAAACAAATAAAGTTATGAACAGCACAAATTTGTTAAAAACAGATCATGCCAAACGAATCTTATTTCATTCTTTGATAAAGTGACTAAATTAGTAGAGGAGGAAAATGCTGTGGATATAGAATACTTAGATTTCAGTAAGGCGTTCTACAAAGTAGATCACAACCTACTTCTTGTTAAGCTAGAAAAATGTGGGTTAGACACAGCATCAGATGGATTTGTAACTGACTGAGAAATCATACTCAACAGCTAGTCCTTATTACAGTAAAATCTAGCAGCGGCAGCCAAAAAAGCTAATAAATCCTTGGCTGCATAAACCAAGGCATATAATCAAAATCACATGAAGTATTAGTATCACTTTATAAAATCTTTGTAAGAGCACATCTGGGATATTACATCCAATTTTGGTTGCCACATTACAAAAAATATTTTGAAATTTTGGAAAAAATGCAGAGAAGAGCAGCTAGGATGATTAAAGGCCTGGAGACTAAATCATATGAAGAACGGCTGCATATGAAGAACGGATATGGCTAGTCTAGAGAAAAGAAGGACTAGGGATGACATGATAGCAGTAATCTAGTATTTGAAGAGCTGCCACTATGAAGGGGTGGTCAACTTGTTTTCCAAAGCACCAGAAAACAAGAAAGAATGGATGGAAACTAATCAAGGAGAGAAGCAACCAGGAATTAAAGAGAAATGTCTTAACAGTTAGAACAATTAACCAGTGTAAAAACTTGCCTTAAGAAGCTGTGGGTGCTGCATCACTGGAAGATTTTAAGAGGAAACTTGATGGTCACTTGTCCCAAATGGTATAGGGTCTTCTGCTTGAGTGGGGGGTTGGAATATAAGATCTCCAGTGTCCCTTCCAGCTCTATTCTCACTGAGTTAAATGATGTCAAGCATAGCCTTTCAAAATAACTTCATTGGTTCTATGGGCCAGGTGTGAGACTGAAATTCATTTTCCAACAAAATAGAATAGAATAGAACAAAATAGAATAGAACAGAATTCATTCATTCATTCATTCATTCATTCATTCATTCATTCATTCATTCATTCATTCATTCATTCATTCATTCATTCATGTATGTTTAGCCTCTACTGATGCAATCC